GGACCCCCCGGCCGCGAGAGCTGAGGCTGCGGCGCGCCGCCATCTTCCAAGTGGGCAGTGCGGCGGCTGCCTGCCCGCCCGCCATCTTTACTTCGGGTTCACAAGTGCCCCAGCCAATCATAGGGTGGCTGCTCCAGCTGCGGCTTCATCCTTCCCACCCGGCGGCGCGAGCGCAGGCACCGGCCCCTGAGCGAGACTGCAACGCAGTGTTCGCACCCACTGCTCAGCAGTCCGCCTCCCTGACTGACACTGACTCGGCCTGGGCCAGCTCAGGAACCTCGAGGCTGGCGGGAGGGGGGAGAGGGGGGAGAAGTGCCAGCCGCTCCTGCGAGAGGTAGGCAGACCAGCTAGCTAATCACGAGCGGGCGTCCGCCCTCCCAGCCAGGGGGCTGGAATGGAGGCGTGGCCGTGAGCGGCGCCGCGAACCAATGGCAAGATAAATGGGTGGGGAGACGAGGGCCAGCGTCCTCCTCAGCACGCCAAGTTTCCAACTGAAAGGCGCGTGACTCTTGTGTATGTGCGAGGGGAGGAGGTGTGGCCAGCCGGTGCCCGAGAACCAATCACAGATGAGAGCTGTACGAAAGGGGGCGGGGCCCTACTTCCGGCTGCCAGTGAAAAGGGGTCATTCACGAGTCCGACAGCCCGGAGGGACCTCGGTAGTACATCCCGGCCCTTGGGTTGCCCCGCTGGACTAATGTCCCGAGGCGGCCCGAGGCGGCTGGTTCTCGCTGCGCCACGCTGCCGGCTTCCGCGTGCTCAATGCCTGTGCAGAGAGGCTGCGCCTCCCTGCCCCAGGAGCCCGATAAGCCGACTAGGGAGGCTTAAGATGCACAGTAGCCTAAAATGAAGCCGAGCCACAGGCCGGGCCCCCCTTATTTATTCGTGCGCGCCTCTCCACTCGGGATAAGCGGTGGCCGGTGGGCCCCAGCACCGCACAGACCCGCTCTGCTGGAGCCTCTCGCCTATCCCTAAGAGACAAGCGCCCTCTGCAGCTCACGGTCAGGTGGCGCCACTTGCCGGTATCACGGGCGCCCTGCAACGCTTTCCAGGTCCGTCGCAAACCCCACACGGTGAGCGGGAGGTGCGGAAATTAAAGTAGTTCCCCATCTTCCAAGTCATAAGAATCCCTTCATTTTCTTACTGAAAGTCCCTGGCCCCATTCCATATTTACTGAATGGGGAGGACCCAGGAATCTGTATTTCTAACTGGGACTCGGGCAAATTTGGGAAATGGGAAGGGGCAGACATACTAAGCAGATCCATAAAGGCTCATTCTTAAACACACTGACCAAACCCAGCTAGGTTCATCGGTCACTCAGGAGAAAAAAACCCTGAAGACCTAGGACTCCCAAGCCCATTCTGTATCTGGAGGAGATGCAGTAGCAAAGTTGTTAACAAAGTGGGTTTTTTTCTTGCAACTTAAACATCTGAAAAAAAATTTTTTCCTTTTTTTTTTTTTTTTTGTATTCTGCAAGCATATTTTCTTCCCTTTATGTAAACCAATCAAATGATGGCAATGGCCTCCTCACTGGTCTCTGCTCTTCTACACCTGCCCCCTTCCCTTCTCAACCCAGCAGCCAGAGTGGTCTTGTTAAATAAGACGCTGTCCCTTCCTTGTTTGAAACCCTACTCTGGCTTCCCAACTCATCACAGTAAAAGCCACTGGTAGCTACAATATCTGACAAGGCTCTAAAAGAGCTTCTGCCCACCCACTTTTTTCTATAACCTCATCACCTGCTGCTCCAGCCAGATTTCTCCTGGCTGTTGTTCCTTCTCTCCAGGGATGCTCCTTCAGGGAGCCTGTGTACTTGCAGCTGTTTACTGTGCCTGGGACTCTCTTCCCCCAGATGTCAGCATAGAACGTTAGTCCACCTCCTTCAAGATTGTTCAAAGGCCACCTTTAATATTTATTTATTTATTAATTCATTTACCTATTTATTTTGGCTGTGCTGGGTCTTAGTTGCAGCATGCAGGATCTTCATTGCGGCATGTTTACATGCGGCATGTGGACTCTTATTTGTGGCATGCAGACTCTTAGTTGTAGCACGCAGACTTCTTAGTTGCAGCATGCATGTGGGACCTAGCTTCCCTACCAGGGATCGAACATGGGCCCCCTGCATTGGGAGCACAGAGTCTTACCCACTGGACCACCAGGGAAGTCCCAAAGGCCACCTTTATAAACTTGTGAACAAGCACTCCCTATACTCCATCTCTACTGTATTTTCCTTAATTTAGTTTACATCTGTCTCCTTCTACTAGAACTTAAGCTTCCTGAGGGCAAGGATTTTGTCTGTTTTGTTCACTGCTGTATCATCAGGGCCTAGAACAATGGTAGATGCTCGAAACAGTACTTGTAGAATGTTAAAGAAGTGAAAGAATTTTTATTCTGATTATTTCAAATAATGCCCCCAATCTAGTTTCCAGCCCTTCAGCTTCTGATGCTGCTTCTCCCACCCACAATTCTCATACTACTATATCTGAGAAACAAGTTTATATTTTAAAAACCCTGATTCACACACTCGGCATGCATTTATAAAAATAACATTATCAGTTTGGAAGAAAAGTTGAGCTTTTTAGGGGTATATGACAAAGGATAGATACAGTCCTTTTCTAAGTCAACTGATTGAAAATAAAACTGTTTTAACTTCATAAAAAGTGTGAGTACAAGTGTGTGTAAGGGAGCTAAGAGGGAAGATGATTAAAGGCTCTTAAATGCTGAATGTACACTTTCGGAATAAGAGTGTGGAGATGGGGATGGGGAGAAGCTTGCCAAACCTACAGACATTTCCTGTGCATTTCAGAAAAAGCTAGAACAGTCAGGAAAGTGTGGCATTCAGCAGGTTAGAAGCAAGTTAGAAATTCATAGCAAAATGTCAGAAAGCACCCATCAAGACAATTTACAATATAAAACCAGCCAAGCTCACATTCACACACAAGCTCAGCAGTCCCCTGTGTGAATTTGACGTTCATCCTGAGTGGCAGTGGTGGTAGGAGGGGGGAATCATAGTCTTCATGTAGGGAATTTCCTGGGCGTCCAGTGATTAGGAGGTTTCACCTCCAGAAAGGGCTACAAAAACCTCAAGACTGCTAACTGGTTGCTGTGGATGTCTAATCCTAGGTAGGTTCTGACTTTGACCTTCAGCACATCATTTAGGTAAAGCAGAACCTCCTAGCAAATACTTTCCCTAACCAACCCTCTCTTGCTAGAATCCTTTACTGGATCCTCAAGGGGAAGGGTACCTGTTCAGTTTTCTCATCTGCATGGAATATGCTCCCATGTCTGCAGGTTCAGAGATTTGGGAAGGCGCTGCATCCAGACCTAAAAGACTTTTAGAGTTTGACTTTAAAGATAGCAAGTAACAACCAATGGCTCTCTAAGCATCTGGTTTCTCAACATAAAGCTCTAATTTTATACAGAAACCTTTTCCCCCCGGAAAAAAATGCCTAGTTGTAGAAAAATATTCAAAGTTATTGCTTCAACAGTGACATTTTAATCTTACCAAAGCACTGGATCTTTTGAGGACAAACAGGAACTGGGTGATGCTCCAGTTGCCCAAACTTTCCCTCCAATCAAACCTGCTCCCCCTGAAACAACATTGTCCACTTGTTTAAAGACATAGAACTCTTTTAGCTCAAATGAGAACTTTTCACAACAGGGGGCAAACAAAACAAAATAAAGTCAACAATGCAGTTTACCTTCTCTTTTTCAGGCTTTTTGTTTTGGGCTTTCCTATTTCCCTCCTTTGCTAGTTTCTGGATATAGTCACTGTGGAGAAAGAGAAGAGAAAACATGGCTTTTTTACAGAGTTGTGACAAAAGCTTCCTCCTTTGAGAAGGGTGCAAGCTCCTTGAGAGCGAATCCCTGCCGCTGGTGGGTGGCCGCCTGCCACTTCCCATTCTGCCGATTCTTCCCTCCCTCTCCGCCCTCCATCCTGGTCCCTCCCCCGCTCCCTTCACGGTGCACTGGACAGCACCCCACACCCACTATCCTTCTCCCAGGGAGCCGGCCCCTCCTAAACCTCCACGGGGCAGCCCCAAGAAGTCTCCTTCTGCTGCTCCAAGTCCACTGTTTGCCCTGCTCCAGGCCCCCTGTCCTCCTGACTGCCAGGCTCTGCGACTGTGGGACTTTCTAGGATCTTTTAGGGTGTTCTTTCTGACTGCTGTGCCACCCTAGTTGCAGTCTCCAGCTCAGTCTTGGACAGAGAAATGCTCTGAGCTCCATTATCCTTATCATTGCGACTGAAACACTCAACCCAGGTTGTGATTTTAGGTTTTAAAATGTTGATCCATGTGAATATTGCCCATCCAACAATCTAAATTTAAAAACTACATTTGGGGAGTGAGGAAGAGGTGGGAGATAAGGCAGACTCTGACAGGAGGATGGTAACTAGGGATGAGACTGCAGGTTAAAGAACAGATCCTAAATGTCCAATTCTGAGCCCTGGGTCTGATACCAGAGCTCTAATTTGTGATTACGGCTCTAGTCATAAAATGCCAGTTTTCCCATATCAGCTGAATTCATTCCTATGGTCTTTTTTCCAAATCGTTTGGAGCTGGAGCAAAAATTCTACTATAATAATTAGTCAGATCTCCATGTATAGACAAATAACCTGCCAGACCTCAGTGGGAAAGAATTCTTCTCCTATTTTTAGTTCCTCTGAGATACCTATTTGTTTTTTTTGAAACACCACTACACTGAAGATTTAACTTATTGCTTCCCACTTATTAATACCACGTCTCAATTCTCTGCTTCCTCTTTATTTTTTTTAATATTTATTTTATTTATTTATTTGGCTGCATCGGGTCTTAGTTGTGGCACACGGGCTCCAGAGCACGTGGGCTCTGTAGTTTGCTGCATGTGGGCTTTCTAGTTGAGGTGCGTGAGCTCAGGAGTTGCAGCGTGTGGGCTCAGTAGTTGTGGCACGCGGGCTTAGTTGCCCCGTGACATGTGGGATCTTAGTTCCCTGATCAGAGATCGAACCCAAGTCCCCTGCATTGGAAGGCGGATTCTTAACCATTGGACCACCAGGGAAGTCCCTCTGCTTCCTCTTTAAACTTTAAGTTTGTGTCTTATTTCTCACCCCATTTCTTTTTTCTTTTTCATTCGTTCCCTCATTCAACT